GAACTACTTTTATGTTACTATTATTCATAACCTTGGATCTCAGAGAGCGGGAACCCTGGTAATAGTACATTTAAGGGGGTTTAGTTTTAGGAGACCTAATGATCATTACTAAACTTAATAAGGTAAAGTCTTGACCCTGGCAGGCTACTAATGCATGTTTGTCTACCAGCCCTAATAAGCTCATTGAAGAAACAAATAATTGTATAATGCAGAAAACAGATTTATTCAATGTGTTTTCATTGGGAAGAGAGACAGCTAAGTCTTGTGGCTAATATCCCATTCTGTTGTTCATCATTCAAGATCCAGATATAAGGTGAGGGTTTATGTAGAGAGCTGTAGATACTCATAACTTAGCAATACGAGTCTAGAAGTGGCCTAGTATACCAGCGTTTAGGCACCAATCTCTACTGCAAGTGGTCAGACAAGTTGTCAGAATCGTATGAAATCTCTTTCGAGGTAACAAACAATCCTCTGACTGACATCACACTTCAGGTTTATGCTTTTGCCAATTCACTGAGATGCCTTCTTTCAGTTGTGTAAGATTCTTCAAATTGGAAGTCCAAATATATAATGGAAGCGTTAGAATGGGACCCCATATAGCCCATTTTTAAATCCCCACAAACTGCATTGTATGGGATAAAACTGGTATTTGGTAAATGTTTGTTAAATTGATAGTGTATAAACAACAGAAAATGTATTTTTGAAAACAATATGTTTTTCAGCCCTGAGTGAAGGAAATCTGAAGTAGCAAAGAAATCCTCAGGAAAAAGGCAGACACATCTGGGAATTACAATGGAGGAGAGGTGTACAGGTAGTGTCAATGGCAGTTCCAGTATCTCACAGATGAGATCAACAGCAATTAGGAAAAGAAGTAGTAACACGGATTGACCTAGTACTACAGTTCATTAATGTTTTACCAAGGAAGAGAGACTTTGAGGAGTGAAATGAAAGCAACTGCACCAGAGGGAGGCTGATAGATTCCCACAATTGGCCTTTCTGATAGCCTAAAGCAATGAGCACAGCATGATAAACTGTAGAACACAGAAGTTACAACAGGTGAGAGATATAGGCTTCAAGGGAGGATAGAGACTTGAGTTTAATTAAAGTCTCTCATGTGTCTCCTAACAAGGCAACATCCTATTCTGTTATGAAGAAAAAAATCTGCTTAAACTTTACACTACCTATGTATTATATATTTTTTTTTGCACTTTGCTGCAACTAACTTCACTAGTTGTGTAGTTATACAAAGACACAACTCCACAGACAGCAGTACAGATACAGTATGAACTGTCTTTGGAAAACATGTAATGATTTAACTGATCAAGGATAAAAAGACATGGAAACTATAGGGACATGAGTTGTGAGAGGAGCCCTCACCCAGGAATCCGGTGAAGCTTCTTTCCAATAGCTAAGCAAGAATTGCAACCTAATTAACAACGGCTTAAAACTTTTCTCTCTTCTGGTGAATAAATTTAAATTGATCTAAGAATCTCACAAGAACCCCATTTACAGAGAAAATGCATGCACTAAACTCCTTGCACAATACAAATACTTCATGATGTCATCCTAATTATATTATATGTAATAAATTGACCATATTATGATTCTATCCATGGCATCCCTGGATCCACCTTACTCATCTAATTTATCAAAAGATATGGAAAATAAAATATCTTCACAACATTTTTGTTGTTTACACCTAGGATTTAATTTGTTTTGTGCATATGTGTTATGCCTACATATCTGTATGTGTACCACATGCATTCAGCACCCATGGAAGGTAGAAGGAGTCAGACTCTCTACTACTGGAGTTACAGATGGTGTTGAGCTACTGTATGGATGTTGGCAGCTGAACCCGAAAGTTTTGTAATACCAGCACCTGATCTTAAGCTCTGAGGTTTCCCTCCAGATCCAAAGATTTATTTATTTTTATTGTAGGCATATGCGTGTGCATCTGCTTGTCTATATGTGCACCATCTGCATGCAAGTGCTATGGAGGCCAGATGAGGATATAATATTTCCCTGGAACTGAAGTTACAGGAAATTGTGAGCTGCCTGATGTGGGTACTTGGTACTAAACCCAGGTACTCTACTAGGGAAACAATTGCTCTTTACTACTCAGCCAACTTTCCAGCCCCTACTTTTATATTGAGATGTAACTTGAAAATTCCCAAAGATGTATGTATATATATATATATGCATATATATTAATGAAATGAAGGGAATTTTAATTCTTTTTATATGCTAACATTTTGAAAATAATAAGGAGTGACTTTGAAGGATAAATCATTTATATTCATGCCATCTTATGAATATCTGAGAAGTTCAGTTTGGCTGGATTTATTTTGAGGTCTTTGATCCATTTGAACTTAAGTTTTGTGCATGGTGATAGATATGGATCTATCTGCAGTCTTCTGCATGCCAGCATCCAGTTATGCCAGCATCATTTCTTTAAGATTCTTTCTTTGTTCCATTGTATAATTTTAGCTTCTTTGTTAAAAATCAGGTGTTCATAGGTGTTTGCATTAATATCAGGGTCTTCAGTCAATTCCCTTTGTCTACCTCTATGTTTCTGTGTCAACACTGGAGCTTATAGTAGAGCTTGAAGTCAGAGATGGTGATGCCTCTGGAAGTTCCTTTATTATACAGGATTGTTTTGGATATCTTGGATTTTTTTGTTTTTTCCCAATAAATTTGAGTGTTTTTCTTTCAAGGTCTGTAGAATTGTGCTGGGATTTTGATAGGTAATGCATTGAATCGGTAGATTGCTTTTGTTGATATTGCTATTTTTACTATGTTGATCTTACCTGTCCAAGATAATGGAAGATCATTCTATTTTCTGATATCTCCTTTAATTTCTTTCTTCAAAGACATAAAGTTTTTGTCATACATGTCTTTCACTTGTTTGGTTAGAGTTACCCCAAGATATTTTATGTTGTTTGTGGCTATTTTGAAGGGGGATATTTCTCTGATTTCTTTCTCAGCCCATTTATTGTGTACAAATAGGAGGGATATTGACTTTTTTGAGTTAATCTTGTTTTCTACCAGTTTTCATGAGGTGTTTATCAACTGTAGGAGTTCTCTGGTAGAAGTTTTCGTGTCACTTATATAGGCTATCATAAAATCTACAATTAGTGAAAGTTTTATTTCTTCTTTTGTTTAAAAATCTTATGAAATTTTAGGTTTCAATATAGATTTTTCAAAGATGCTTAGTGAAGTGTTAGTTAAATTTTCTTTCACTAATTTTCTTTTCTTCCATTCTAGTCCCCTCCCCACCTTTCTCCTACAATATCCCATAGAGGACTTGGTGGGGGCAACTGGAGAGTGGAAAGGATCTAAATATATTGTATTCACCTAGAAAATCACTAATTAATAAGTTTTTTCAGTGTTTTTATTAATATTTTAGGTGATTTTCTGAGCAAATCCATACAGAGAAGAATAATGCTAGAGAGTATAATTCTTTACCTTTCAGGGGGTTAAGGGGATAGCAACAACATAATTACAGAACAATAAGGACACAAGAAATCAATGATCCTACTTACTGTAACTCCTATGAATAATAAGAGACCTGCATTGCAAACTATATTCAAGAGTGTTATTGTAGCAAGTTTAGGTTGGGGACAAACATCAGTAATATAATCTAATGTATAGCTCACAACAGGAGAGAACTCATGTCTGATGCTGAACCCATAGTGGGTGAGGCCACGGGACTCTACAGAGAACTGGTAAAAATGTAAAGAACAAATCACCATGGAATGCACAGCCCCAACTGATGTATCTGCATCATATCACCTACACCTAAGTCCCAGAGGATATTGCAGAAGAGCTGGGAGAATGACTGTAAAATCCACAGGACCAGGACATGTGCTATGAGATGGTATTTCTGTTTACAACAGGGAAACTGCATCCATGAAATATAAAAAAGAGATGTGAACATTGAGATCACAAGATAACACGTAAGTGTAGGTGGGGACAGTATCCTAAGGCTCTACCCCTATATGAAGAACTACAGTCTTTTAATGATTGCTGGGAGAGGAAGAAGCAGTCTTCTAGGAGAGCCGTTTTCAAATTCCAAGTAATCAGCCTTAAACACATATATATCCAAGCAACAATGTATGGACTGAGAAGGCTGTATTTCTATATACATGAATAATGTATATATATATATGTATTTACATATATAGTATGTGCTTACATACGATATATATAGTATGTGTTTATATTGAATAGAGGCTATTTATATTTTAGATGTATTATATAAATATAGATAATATATCTTTCGACTATATGTTTGTGTGGGGATATTTACTTGATGGAAAATTACAAATTAAAAACCATATATAAAGAAATGCTATTAGTGAATCTAATGTTATGAGAGAAAAAGGGGATAATATCTCACATTGTATGAGAAGTATTTTCAAAGAACTGACATTTCAGGCAAACTGAAATATACCATATTATCTGTAGTATAGAGTGTCACAGAGTTTTTGTGAAGTTGAGCAGCCAAACAGAAGGTTACATGAACCAGTATTATACAACAAGGCCAGTGAGCTGCAGCAACACGGACAGAGGAGGGTTGGATGGTAGTTTCTGATACTAGAAGAGGATAAATGAGAGAGTCCCTATATGGTAAAGAATTTTGTTTATTTAAAAGGTAAAAGAAATGTTTGGGCTGTAAAGACCCCAATTAGAGCTATGTTTTTTTATTATTAGTGATGTCTACAAACATTAAATTTGTCTATGAAGTACCATTTCATATTGGGAAGACAAAAGAGGAAAATTGAAAGTATAAAATGCTTGACTTCTTCAAGCCTCGACACCATGTTTTTTTGTAAGAATTTACACCAAATGATTTGGATTCGGAAGTTTTTATTCCCCACACTGTGGCAGTGGTATCCTCCTCTGGCCATGTCTTTAGGATGAAAAATTACAAGAGGACCTAAAAATCTCCTAGATCCCCTAGAACATGGTGGTTGCTGACATACATTTCTGTATTTCAGGGAAAACAGCAAGGACCATACCAGTGACATAAGAGTAAGGTAGGCATAATTAATAAAGCAAAGGGAAATATTATTTCCTCAAACAAGAAAGATACTGTTGCAGCAAAAGCATTAACAACTGTACCTAAATGCTCTTTTAAATTGTAAGGAAACTATTTTGTTAATCTAATTAAAATAAAAGGATTTTTTAACCTAAAGAAATTCCAAGTGATAAAAACTGTGAAAATACATGGATTTGTGCTTCTTTCTTTTCATAGTATGGTGCCTGAAGGCATATTCACAGAAGTGATGGTATCATAATTATTGTGAAGGAGGCTTAATGTAAACACAGCAGAGCCAAGAATTTGGTGTATAAAGCAAATATTATTTGTTATTTCTAAATACTTCTTTTTAAAATGAAGTATTTTAAAAGTATTTCTTGATATATTTACACAATTCATTATTATTGTTTCTAAACTTATGGCATTCTACAGCCAGTTGAATGGTTTCCTAAATGATTATCATTCACACACACATCTGTAGTGTCCAAGCTGTACTATCCTGATGAGTATTCTAGACTGTAGTCTGTTGAATGCCATGTTTCAAGAGAAGCATATAGAAATCTTTCTGTGCCTTACATAATTGTCACACATTTCCAGTGCCATGGCAAATGATATATGATTCCTACAAACAAGAAGTTTCAAGTTCAAATAGGCTTAATATATTCAATTGCCAACTTTTCTCTTGAAGTAACAGGGTTAATAGTTGGGAGAAATATTTCTTGAAAAAGGAAACTGCAGAAGTTGCTGTCACATCAAAATTCAACTTAGACACTATTAAAATTATATTTAACAGAGTTGCCATATCCAACCTTCTATTTTTCTGTTGTCTATACGCAGATGTGGATCTAAAGGAGGAAACGTGTGGCTTTCATCTTGTCTTGATTATTTTACGTTGATTACAAATTATATAGATGGGAGGAATGTGAAGTAGAGTGTAATGAAAGCCAAGAAAAGAAGGCAATAGCAGTTCAATTCCACAGTTAACCTATTTTGGAATTAGAAAGACTTGTACAAATAAGAGCTCAATTTATTAAATATGTGAACTCCGAAAATTTGATTTTTGTTTGTTTCCTGACCCTGAGGGCATTCTTATAATAATACACCTATATTGCTAGGTCATTATGAAAATTAGGCAACAATGTAAGTCACTGTCATGCTGTTTTAAATGTAGTAAGCATTCAAATATGATACCTGATCTATTATGTTTTACCTTTCCTTATGACAAATAATCACTGAAATTTTAGCAGCAGTGAGGTTATTCTTATTATCTTCATAATAATGACTAGATAATAGTTAGGAATATATTTAAGTTTTAAAGTCATTCCATAGCAAGTCTAAGACACACAGAAATGGCCATACAATGTTCAAGACACAATAGATTCACAAAATTGAAAGAAAAGGAAAAGCAATAATTTAGAGCGTCAATTCTCAATCGTGGCAAATTTTCACTCACTTCCTTTTTGACCCACCTCTTCTCAATAAGAATGTGCATGATTACACAAAGGAAGCATTTGAGACACTGTTTCATCTACTGTAATGAAAGGTAAAACTTCAGGCTGAACAGAGTCTGCAGCTACCAGCTGACATATTCCTTTTCAGAACAAGAGCTTCCCTTAATATGTAGAAATGTGATAGAGCACATCTTGTAGAGAAAGACAATCATAATTTTATGATTCTGGGGAAGGCAATTTGTCAGTATATGATGTATTCTTGCTTCTTAATAGCTCCTGGCTTTCATTAACATATATTGTGAAGTGTAGATTTGGCCAAAACATTGGGAATTAAATTTTCCTTTGCTTAAATACCTAAGCCACATACTTCTGATGAGTGAAAATAAGTCTGAGAAACAATGTCCAAAGAAGTATTTTGTGGACTTCCATTTTTAAGGTAGGGAAGCAGTTCCTTTAACAGGATCTGTTACATAAGCACATTCTTATTTAAAAGAATCTTGGGTAAATCAGGCTCCAAGAGTCAAGTATGAAAGAGCAAGGTTTGTCATGGATTGTTCGGTAGTGGAGTATTTATTAGTATTAGGGCCTTCCTCCTAGTAATTCTAATGACATTGGACCCTCTTTGCCTCTGCCAATCTGTTAACATTCACTAATATTCTCTCTGATGATTTTTCAGAATTGTGAACTCATTGATGTCCAGAGTACACTAAGCTGAGATCTGCGCAACGATGTGGCCTAGCAAGACAAGGTCACAAATCCACCCACGTGACAGATTTTATAATGTGAAAATCTATGTCCTGGAGGAAGGTGATCAGTGGGAACATCTAGTCTCAGGACGAATTTCAAGCCAATACATCGGACACCTTCAGGACGTTTGCCTGCTTATTCACTCAAAATCAAATGACTCATTGTTAATGGAAATCACAATACATTATAATGTGCCATATAAGAGACTAAAAAGGAATGTAATTACTTGGACTGAACCTGATAACCATACCATAGCAATACGTTTCCGAAACCCAAAATGTTGTCAAGATATCTGGGAAGATATCTGCCAAGTTCAAGGTAAAGATCCAAATGTACAAATCACACAAGAACTTACAGATGATTTAGACATTTTACAAGAACTGCCCCAGATCCAGAATCTGTGTGAGATGCGAACCTGTGAAAACAGCACACTTGAACACATTGCAGATTTGTTTAATTTTGTTGAGGAATCGCCAAGCTACAAGGAAAGGCTGGCTCTTCTTTTGGAAAATGATGATTACATTAAAAAATTGCTACATGTCTTCCACATTTGTGAAGACCAAAAGAACATGGAAGGCTTATATATTTTATATTTCATTATTAGAGGCATCTTATTTCTCAACAATATGCGTTTGTATGAGATCATGTTTTCCGATGAGTGCATCATGGATGTCTTAGGATGCCTTGAGTATGACCCTGATTTGGATCAGCCATATCGGCATAGAGAATTTTTGACTGTAAATGCAAAATTCAAGGAAGTTATGCCAATAACATGCTCCAATCTCAGGCAAAAAATACACCAGACCTACAAAATGCAATACATTCATGACATTCTATTTCCAACACCATCCAAATCTCAAGAGAATCGTCTCTCTAAATTTACAACTTGCATTTCTTACAACAAAATTGAAATAGTTACCTTGCTGCAGGAAGATGAGATGTTCATGCTTGAAATATTTGATCAGTTGAAAGATAACACTCTAGGTCACGAAAGACGGCATGAGTTGCTATTTTTTTTCAAGGAATATTGTGATTTTGCTAAGATATTAAATTCTCAAAACAAAGACATATTACTGGAAACAATGATAAAGCTTGGACTCATGAGTGCTCTAAAAGTTTCAGTACATATGGAAGACTATCAAACAAAAGAAGCTGCTATAGATATACTTACTCATCTAGTAGAATATAATCCACAAATCGTCCAAGTGTATGCAATGGAAGAAGTGTATGCCATGGAAAATGATGATCTTCTCATCAATATAATGATCAAACAAATAATCTGTGATTCTGATGCTGAATCCTCATATGTTTTAAGTTTGACTGCAGTTCTCCATGCTCTCCTTGATGCAGAAAACATGTGCATAACAGTGAGTGGATATGAAGAGGAGGATTTTATTAATTTCTTCTATACACATTGCATCAATAACTTGGCTGAACCAATTTTGGCTATTCCAGAACAAAATGATAGTGATGATAACAGGGCTAAAATCTGTCTTGATAATTACCAAAAGGCACAATTGCTTGGAGTAGTGTTAGAATTACTCAGCTTTTGTGTAAAACACCATAAAACTTACATTAGAAATTATATTTTGAGCAACAACTTGCTCAGCAGAGTCCTGGTGCTGACAAGATCAAAGCACACATTTCTGATTTTGTGTGCTATCAGGTTTATGAGACAGATGGTTGGCATTAATGATAAAATTTATAATCTTTACATAATAAAGAAAAATCTTTTTGAACCTGTTGTAAGAACTTTTTTACACAATGGGGAACGAAATAATATGCTAAACTCAGCTATCATTGAGCTATTTGAATTTATAAGACAGGAAAACATCAAGTCTCTTATTGCAAACATTGTAGAAAAATTTTTTACAGCTTTTGAATCAGTTGAGTATGTCCAGACCTTTAAAGGGTTAAAAGTTAAATTTGAAGAAGACAAGGAAAGAGAAATTCAAATGAGAAGTAATTTACATGATATAGCATACCAGATCATATACTGTAGACATACGAAAGCTGTGGAGGAACAAGGCAAGGAAGAAATGTGTTCTGGAGAAAGTACTGAAGCTAACCTACCAAGGGGAAGTGATGACATGTTTATAAGAAATAAAGATACACGTGAAAATGAAGTAGACCAGTCAGAAAGAAAAGCATCTGAAGCACTTGACTGTTCTTCATCTCCTTCTGATGCTTCTGCTAATAAGGAGAGTGAGCCACACTGCAGCAGCGAGTTTCCTTTAGAGGACTACCCAGATGATGGCGATGATGAGAAAGACCATGAAGACCATCCTGACATCGATGAAGAGGAAGAACCTCCTCCCACAAGACCTACACTTGGTTCATAAAATTAGATGAGGCCCTCAATTTTGATTAACATTCTATAAATATCACAAAGTGAAAAATCTAATTAAAAGATCCTCCTCTTAATAACTTTTAGATATGGTAGTATAATTAACAAATATGATGATAAATAAAAGGCCTCAATTTTCTATGAAAAATATCCCCATAACATAGATGTACAGAAAAATAACCACCCCTGAGTGATAAATTCTTATCAAGAACGTCTTATTATGGCAGCATGGTTTGGGAGGAGGAAACAGTATAACATAATACAACTTTCATTCTTGTCTTTATATTACAAACATGTACGAAAGTTTTATTACAAAGTCAACTTTCAAAAATAGGGTCTAGCAAAGGTATTCTTTTCATAAACTGAAGTTTTTTGAAACAATATTTTGTATGTGTGGAAGAAAAATCAATATTACAGTAAAAAAGTGAGACTTTTCAACGTTTTTTTGTGAAGATTTAACAAAACTTCAGTGTTATGCATAAAAGCGGGAAGGAACATTCACCACAATTAAGTGTATATATTCATGAATAAAATGTTAATCTGGATCCTAAATGAGCTGTTGTTAATGTCCTTCTTTTTAGATGAGAAATATCAAGTATCAGTATCAATGCGGTACTTTTCCTAATGTGCATTCTCTAGGTCCTCTGGAAATGAAACTGGATGCACCAAATGTCTAGATTGTTAACATGATTTCTTCATTCATTAATGAATCTTTGTCCTTTTCCCTGGAGTCATAGGTACATAGTAGCTAAATATGCATATTTCTTTCTGGTTGCTGAAACAAAGTAACTAACAAAAACTACTTCACAGAACAAATTTTAATTTTGTCTTACAGTATGAGGGAATACATTCCATTCTAGTGGGAATGGTACAGGAGTAGACTATTCAAAGATGGGAGGAATCTAAAGCAGCATGTCACATTACACCCACAATCAATAAGCAACTGGATAAATTCTGATACATACCTCAGTTTCTCTTTTTATTTAGTCCAGGACATCAGCCCATGATACAATGCAACACACATTCAATCCATATCTCATATTCACTTATTCCAGTCTGTAAATGGCTTCATAAATATGCCAGGAAGTTTGTCTCCTAAGTATGGATTCTGTTGATTGTTAGCTATCACTAATCGACGTGTTGCTTACTTAACCCCCAAACATATATGTTTTAAGTCATACCCTTCAACATCTTCATCCTAAAGGTCTCATGACCATTTGATACTACAAAATGTTTTCAGTCTAAACCACATGCATGTCTGTGCCAGCCTGCCCTGGATGACAAAGAGAAAAGAGGCTAATGAATACTGCATAGACAAATGAGACCCAGGGCGGCCTGTACTGGGCACCAAGGAGAAAACATGGGCTGGGCAGTTTGGCATTATTTAGGTCAGCAAATATATGGTGTGGTTTAGGGGAGGGACAGACAGGCTGATTCCTGTCCTGTGCAGTCTGATCTGAAGAGGTGAAGACTGGGAGGCATGTGCTTTGTTGTTTTGCTTACTTGATACCCAGAGCCAAGGAGTGTTTTGGATTGGGCTGCTACCAAAGCCCATAGCCATCCTCTAGCTCTGCTCTGTGTGGATGTTAGTGACTCCTGATTCCACAAAAGACAGAGAGACTAGGGCTGCACAACGTTGACCCTGTCCTTAAGTGGTTACAATACTAGGGAGAAGTGACCCTGCCCTTTACTGACTGCACCACTCAGGAGAGCAGGCCCTGCACCTTGCCTGGGGAGCCCCGTAGATCTGGCCCTGCTGATGGGAGTGTAGGTGAACTGGCCTCAAGGGCGTGAGTATGAGAAGGATGCCCTTCTACTTGTCTGTCTGCCATGCAGTGGCATGGTGAAATAAAAGATGTCCCCCTTGCCCCTCGTTCCTCCCCTCCTGCTGACGTCAAGAGAGCTTATCCTCTGGCTTATCAGCTGTAGCACTCAGGAAAGCAGCCCTGTACGTACCTTGCATAGGAAGCACAGTAAAACAAACCGTGTTGATAGGGATTCAATTGAGCCCTTCCCCCAGCACGTGAGTGAGGGATTACTGGTACCACTACTCATCTGACACATGCTGGTTTGGGTGAGGGAGAGATACCCCCCATCACTACTGTGACAGTCGGGAACCTGGCACTGAGGTCATGAAATCAGGAGAGCTGGCCCTTCCCCTCTATCTGCAGCACTCCTGAGAGTAGCCCCTGCCCCAGCCTAGGCAACATGGTAGAGCTGACCCTGGTGGTATACCTTGGGTGAGCTAGGCTTGAGGGCCTGAGTACAAGAGAGTAGGACCCATGCCCGGCTCCTTGCTACATAGGATGAACAAGCAGGGCAACACTGCAGGCTGACCAACCCTGAATTCTCCCAAGCCCAGATCCTGTGCTATGAATTGTCCTACCCCAGCATCCATCCCATCTATGATGTGCTGGAGTACATGAAGGTGCTGGTCCTGCAGATCCAAAGTTGCGGGATCCCCATGACACAGAGCAAGCACAAGATATTCAAGAGAAGTGCCAGTGAGGGCGCAATATCGATACTGTAGCTGAAACCAGAAGACGGGAACAAGACCAAACACTCTTTGCAATGAATATTTGCATGTAAAACTACATGGACTGAAGGGTAAGTTGTATCACACTAGAGCTTCCATGATGAGATTTTTCTTTTTTTAGTCTCTTTCTTATTTTCTCACAAATTTTATTTTATTTGGAGGTGAGTGGCAAGGGCAGAAGGGGGATCCAAAAGGATAGGTAGATGAATGGGATCAAGATGCATGATGTAAAAGCCACAAATAATAAGTAAACGTTTTAAAATATATTCAAGATAACTATAAAACACTTCAGTCTTTCATGGTTTCAACTTGTTCAGAATTGTAAGGACAAATTATTTTCCAAGACTTATATTCTCTTAATTGTGAGCTCTAATATCATACAATAAAAAAGTATTGATAGTTTATTATGGTTATAAACCCAGGACTATAAATAAATTTATGGAGGTTAGAGAGATGACTAAGGATCTAAAGCATTGTTTCCTCTTCCATAAGACTGGGTCAGATTCCCAGAACTCACATAACAGCTAATAAACCTGTTCAAGTCAAATTCCATGAGACATTTTGTCCTGTTCTAATCTCCATTGGCACTTCATGCATGGTGTATGCAGACATACATACAGACCAAACATTCATACATATAAAATAATAATAAATGTATTTTTTAAAATATCAACTCATGGAAGAAATAATTCCTTTTGGATTATGGTTGGAGAGGGAAGAGCCCATAAATGTTGGGGGAATCATGTCAGCAGATGGACAGAGCAGAAGCTGGTGATCACATCTTAATCTACATTCAGGAAGGGTAGAGAGAGTGAGAGCCAGAGCAAGAGCGGAAGAGAGACAGACAGACAGACACAGAGAGAGAGACAGAGAGAGAGAGAGACAGAGACAGAGACAGAGAGACAGAGAGAGAAGAATCTATAAACTCTCAAAGCCAACCATCACTGATGTACTTCCTTTAGCAAGGCTTTAACTTCTAAAGATTCCATAACTTTTCCAAACAGTGCCACAAACCATGGGCCAAGAGTTCAAATATATGGGCCAATGGCAGGATATTTTTAATTTAAACCATTGTATTCTGCCCCACCATATACAGTCTGCCAAGAGGACTGTAGGTTTAAAATGATGATGTTGTATGACAAAATTTTTCCTGTGAAATGCAATATACATGTCTAGTCACTTCAGATAGAGAACTGACAGGCAGGCCAAACTACAGATACCACCAAATTCTAACTTGGTGATCCAATGATTTTTTTAAGGAGTTATATTTAAGAATATGGATGAGGTCTTACAGGAGCAGAAATGATCAAGGACAGTTGCATCACCAAAGCCCGCTGCAACAGCTGTGACAATTCACAAAATATGGAACATCCTACACAGCCTGCAGGCAGCACAACAGGTTGAAGAGTGTCCTTTCCACCTTTCCATTTGACTCGTTTGATCCAAATCTCTTCCAGGCAACTCAGCTAGTTTTTCTTCTTCCAGGAAGCAGACCTTGAATTAAAGTATTCTTTACTGTTTGTCCTGTCTGAAAGTGACTCTTAGCAGCCTTTTATTGTTTAATCTTGGGAAGGTGGGTGTTAGTGAATCTCATCACTTTCAAGGAATTCCTGAAGCTGTTTAGAGTTGTTTACCTTCTGCCTTAAAGGCCTGTCTTGCTGGAGGGAATGTATAAACCTCAGAGGAAACTGCTACAAAAACTCTACCCCTTCCTCTCAGTCTTATATTTTTTTCTTCTCCAGTGATCTCTGAGCCTTGGAACATGACACCCACATTTTTCTAAGAGGTAGGGTGGACAGTTTTTGGTGATTTGATAGGTTATGGATATTTGTAATTGTTTAAGGGGATTGTTTACAAGTTGTTAATAGGAATTGTCAAGAAAAAATATAAACAAAGAAGACTAGGTTCAAGACTCTTGTTTTGAAAAGATTAAAGATTACAGATATGGTAGGATAAAAAGGTATATTATTGAACCTACTCTGAAAAGAAAATAGAGTGGTATAGCTTACTGGCTTGCACTCTGTGTCTTGTTCAGTTGAATTTCTAATCTAACCCAGAACCACCAGCCTAGCAAATGTCCCACACACAATGGCTGTGTGCTCCCACATTAGTCTGAATTCCCTCTTGTAGAACAAATATTAAATCCAATCAGAAGGCTGTTCATCTTAGTAAAAATAACACAGCCACCAATGTCCAAGCAGACATATCCTGCCTTGCTTGTCAGTATTTTAGCATGGAAGGTCCAGGGCAAAGCAGGAATGTTGGTGACCATTCTCCACGAGAAGCCTGCAAAATACTATGGTACCATGGAAACCAGCCAACAGAGTGGCGCTTTCAACGTCAGTCCCAGCTTAATTTCTCCATGCCCTACATATACTTAAAGCAGGGTCTTCAGCAATAGACGCATACTTTAGTTATGACATGTAACCAATAACAGTAGCAATAACCTTTATGGTTTTGGAGTCTCAGGGACTTTCCTGGTCAACAACTCATTGGGAAGCAGCCTAACCTAAAATTGGTATTTTTATTCAATAACTTTACAGCCTCTAGGATACGTTTTTCAGCATATACAGAACATATTTTGATTTTAAACTTTTTAACAACTGTTTTATCAACACATTTTTCCTTTGAATTCACTCAGCTTTAGTGGTATTTAAGGTAGATTGAAGTACCGTTGTGTCTGTTTTTCACTCCAATGACTGCTTTCCAAAGCTGCAAAACACTCAAAGGTTACCATTATGTCATCTATATAAGAAAAACTTTTCTAGAGCATTGGCAGGACATGGTAACACTCTGAGACACCATCCCATGGTGAATACTGTGGTTATAAAGATAACCTTAAGGACAGACTCTGAAAGTCTATTGTCATCTGTTTTTATCAAATGTCAGATGATTCTGATATTTAGAACTAAGAAGATACTAAAGTCAAACATAAGCAGATATAATACATGAAGGAAAGGTTACACCGTTTGTATCAATTGTATCCTGTGTAGATCAAGGTTGGGTAAAAAGCATG